CTACTCTACTCTACTCTACTCTACTCTACTCTACTCTACTCTACTCTACTCTACTCTACTCTGGCTTGCATTTGAATTAAAGATGCATTTACTTATCTGTTTAGCTTCCATTTCAATAGTTTCCCCCTGATCCTTGATTTATGCAATGAAAACCAATTAACAGCGCCCCTTCACTCATTGGCAGTCTTGTGCACGCAGTCAAAGGCCGTTTGGAGGGGTGCTGCGTATACCCACCCCTCTTCATTTGGCGTTTCCTATAGCTCCCGCCTCGCCCCTTCACTTACAGATCCCGAGTAAGGCCCGAGAGATCTTCCTTGCAATGGGAATTCCGGCCTCGAATAAAGGCGCGCTTGTGGAATAAGGCCCCCTCCACCCCAAATTTTATTTCTAATTCATCTTAGATTTGCAGGCTAATCCGCTTGCAAATTTGCCGAAGAACGGCGGGTTCAACAGAAAGAAGCTCCCGCCCCCCCGTCTCTTTCCCCCCGCGGCCACACCTCTCTAGCAAACTAATCTGAATTTTAACCCTTCAAAAACCGGAGCTCCTTGCCTCTAATTTTGCCTTAGATGTGGTTTTTCAGAGGATCGGTGGCTCCGAGCAGCCGCTCGCCTCGCCGATAAAAATATATTTGTTTTTCGATTGTACTAAGGGCATTGGTGAAGTGTTCCCTGGTTTATTTTTCCTTTTGCCCTTTTTATGCAAGCTGCATCAGCTACTCAAAAGTTAGAATGGAATAGAATTGGAATGGAACTGAAATGGAGTGGAATAAATTGGAATGGAACTGGAATGGAACAGAACAGAAAACTATTGTCACTTTAAATGTACACTAATCAGCATACATTAAAACAAAATTTCGTTGCATTCAGTTCTCAAAATATAACCATTACGCATATACCCACATACACGTACATATATGACAAAGAAACATCACAGTCCATCTCGGATGTTTCCATATACATGGCAAAATAAAAGAACCCAAGTTTGCAAGATGGATGGCATAGGGAACAAGCTGTTACAGAATCTACTGGTCCTGCTATAAATACTTGGAAACCTCCTTCCAAAAGGGAGCAACAGAAACAAGATTCAAGGTTCAATACAATGATTCCTGGTCTGGTGTGAAAATCTATGGGATTCAGTGGGAGGCTGTGCTTTTTAGATCCTTCCTGTGAAAGTAAAAAAGCAGAGGGTAGCAGAGATTCCTATTTTTAAAGAACCCAACTGTGTAAAAAAAAAAACTTTAAAATGTGAGGACCAACTCCCAGAATTCCCTATCTAGTCAAGCTGGCTGGGGAATTCTGGGAGGTGAAGTCCACACATTTTAAAGTTGCTAAGTTTGAAAAATTGGTGTAATTATTACAGTGGACTACAGATTGTGAACCATTCAGAGGGATAGTTGGGGGTGAGAATTGAGGAAAAAAGAGGGATATAAAAGTCCCTTACTTTTATCTATTTCTCATGTGTCAGTTTTACATTCTGCCATTTTCTTTGAGTTTAGGAGATGTATATAGACCAAGGGTCTTCAAACTTGGCAAGCTTAAGACTTGTGGAGCTAACATGACTGGAAGAGGAATTCTGGGAGTTGAAGTCCACAAATATTAAAGCTGTCAAGTTTGAAAACCCCTGATTACTCATGTAATTAGAAGTGAAAGTATTGGGGCTTCTGTGCCACTTTAGCTTAAAAAAATGTTCAACCTACGATCACAATTGAATCCAAAATGTCTATTGCTAAGGAAAGCAATTATTAAGTAGGTTTGCCTCATTTTACGGCCTTTCTTGCCAGAGTTGTTCAGTGAATCCCTGCAGTTGTTAAGTTAATAACACCGTGCTTAAATGGCTTCCCCATTGACTTTGCTTGTCAGAAGGTTGCAAAAGCTGATCACATGACCCTGGGACACTGAAACCATCATAAATATGAGTCAGTTGACAAGCATCTGAATTTTGATCACCTGACCATTGGGATGCCCAACAGTTGTAAGTGTGAAAAGCGGTCATAAGTTACTTTTTTTCAGTCTCTTGTAACTTCGAATGGTCACTAAACAAACAGTTGATAAGTTGAGGACTATCTGTAAATGGAGCAAATCCCACTCCCTTCTAGCACTGAAGATGTTACCTAGCTAGGTAATAAAATGTTTTCAAGAAAATAACCAATGTCAGTGATCACCAAAGACCCCTCAGAATTAAGGGGTTAATGTGAAAGTCCTCTGGGGCCAAGCTCTATAAGCTTATGAAGGCAAGCCTGACATCTCCAGCCATTTTGTTGTTGTTGATTTGATTTTTTTACCCCTTTGAAAAAGTGTTGACTGCTGGCAACTGGCTGAACCTACAGTTTCTTTGCAAGATTTTGGAAGTGGTTTGCCTTTGCTGCCTTCTCCCTAGAAAGTCAGTGCCTAACCCCTCCTAAAAGAATGAAATATCTTGAAGAATATTAAAAAAGGCAGAATATTATATTTCCCCAAAGGGAGAAATGGAGAAACATGTTTTTTTAGAGGCAGAAAGCAAACCCCACTTTCCTTAGTAGCCCATGGAAGATGTCAGCACTAAAGAGATAAAAAGCTTATTGAAAAAGGAAGGCAAGTATCTAGATAGCTCTATTCATAGGCAAAGCAAATACTGCAGGCAGAAATCCATTCAGGACAGGATATTTTGAAACTCCCTGCGGCAAAGTCTGAACAAAGGCAGAATGGTAGGATTAGACCTCACTCAAGATCCAACACAGGACAAAGCCATTAAGACACAATAGGAATTGCTCAACAATCTTTCAGAGCAGTCCAAACTTCAACCAAACTTAGCTCAGAGAAGACCTGGGATTTGCATTTCTTCTTTTGCCTATAGAGCCAGCTACGATCCCTACATAACCCCATAGGAATCAGACAACAGCCAATAGAATACATGTTCTTCCACAGGAACAGGAAGTTCAAGTGCATAGCCCAAAGAAGGTATAAAAACCATCCACTCTCAACTCCATTTGGTCAGCTGCCCAGAACCACAAACCCATATGGTTCTGCTTCATCAATAGACCATCTTTCCAATCAGCCTCCGTGTTTCCAGTATCTTTCTCCCGGCTTGGAATCGATCCAGGTGGATATTTCTTCCCACACTAGGACTGTGAGAGAGCAACTGTTCCAAAGTCACACAGCTGGCTTTGCGGCTCAGTTGGGATTAGAACTCACAATCTCCTGGTGCCTTCACCACTACACCAAACCAGCTCTCTTCCCCCAGCATCATAGCCATATTAACAAAGTGGCCATTTGCAAAATAGTCCTGCTTTGATGAAATAATATGCTGGTTTTAGATTAGGGCATGGATGTCCATGAAGGACAAATAGTGACATGTAAATCATTCTGCATTGTGCAAAAGACACATATTACGTTCTTGACAAATGGTGCAAAGGACACAACGGATTCTGCCATTTTCACAGTGGGGTCATAAGATGCACAACGTTTAGACGACCTTGTGGCTTATAACAGACACTGGTCAATGTAACATGGCTTCTGCCTTATGAAAACTGCTAATGGGTTGGGGGACTAATTCTGTCAAGGGGTTAAAAACCATGTACAGAAAGCCTCACCTTTCCGACGCGAAGGCGAAGACAAATATTGTGTTTGAGTTTGAAGTGTGATTGCAAATGTGACTACAGGTAAGTCTTTGACAGTTCACTTAGTGAACTGTTCAAAGTTCGAAGTTACAACAGCATTGAAAAAAGTGACTTATGACCATTTTTCACACTTACAACCGTTGCTGCATCCTCATGGTCACATGATCAAAATCCGGACGCTTGGCAACTGACTCATATTTATGACGGTTGCAGAGTCCTAGGGTCATTTGATCCCCTCTTGCAAATTTCTCACGAGCAAAGTCAACAGGAAACCAGCTTTGCTTAACAACTGTGTTAGTGATTTAACAACTGCAGTGATTCACTTAATAACGGTGGCAAGAAAGGTCGTAAAACGGAGTAAAATTCATTTAAGAAATTTCTTACTTAGCCTCGTGATTTTGGGGCTCAGCTGTGGTCGTAAGCCAAGGACTACCTGTATAAAGTATTTGAAATACCCCTTTGGGCACCCAATTATGAAATCTCTTTAATGTATTCGTTATCAAAATCTTAAAAGATTTCAGCCATCTTGGGCTGTTATATTATTTTCTTAAAATACTACTCCGTAATTGCCATTTAGGATCCTTTGGCCATTGTGGTGCTGACATTTGGGGTAATGACACTGTCATATATTTATTTTCAAATTTATATAGCTGCCCATCTCACAAACAAGCGAATTCCCATGGGAGATTTCCATGAATGTGAAGAAATGTCAAAAAACCCCTTCCTGATTCTCACAGCATGTAGACCTAAACCGGTCCTTGTCCTCTGTTTTCCTGGATGTGTTCAAGAGTCTGTTGGAATTGGCAGCTATGATAAATTTGAATAAATTAATGGCTGGATAATTAAATCTCTGATGCAATAATTTGGCACTGCCAAATTCAATAGCCTAAACTGCCACTTGTAACTTTGATTCCTTGAAGCAAGCCAAGGCTCATTGAACAAGCACACAATGTGCCTTGTCTTTCAACTGATGAGTCTGCCTGATCATAGTCCCTACAGACCCGGTGAGGATTCACCCTTAGACATCTCCCCAATCGAGAGTGTTCCTGAGCATGGGCTGAGTGCTGAGTGCAAAGCAAATGGTTTCTCAACCTGAGGTCAGAAAAGCAACCTACGTAACATTTCAGCCATAACATTAAAGTAGGCAGGGATATCTTCTGGACCGTTAAAAAAAAAAATTAAAATGGGAGAGGGGAAGTAATTGAAGCAATTCCCCTCTTTCATTCACGTCCTACCTAGACCTAGAACAGGGGTCTCCAAACTTGACAGCTTTAATACTGGTGGACTTCAACTCCCAGAATTCCTCCTCCAGTCATGTTAGCTCAGGAATTCTGGGAGTTGAAGTCCACCAGTCTTAAACTTGCCAACTTTGAAGACCCTTGAGCCTAGATAGAACTTCCAACGGTCTTTATTCTGTTTTAAGGTACCTTTGAAAGAGTTGAAACCACCAAGTATTGTCGCCTAGAGCAGCCCGGAAGCGCAAGCAGCGGGGCGCATTTCCCTTTCCTGTCCGTTACTCTCGATTGGGAGGAAGTGGTAGCCGCCAAAACCCGTCGGATTGTCTGAAGTCGGGCGCGCGGGGGGGGGAGGGGCGGCCCGTTTGCGGGTCCTCCGCTTGGCAGGAGGTGAGTTTCGGCGAGGCGGCGAAACGGGAGGAGACTGGGGCCGGGACGGGCCTGCAGCGAAAGGGGGGAGGGCTCGCATGCAGGCTTCCTCCCCCCCCACCCACCCCCAACAATCCGGTGCATTCTAATTCTATAGGTTGCAGAGCCCATCCTTCCCAGCCCCGCTAGCTGCAGGGGATGGGTTTTGTAGTCCAGCTCCCCCTCCCCGATCTTGACAGGGCGCCGGCTGAAGTGGGCGCATTGAAAGGAGTGAGTATCGCCCTACCCCAAAGTAAGAAAGTCCCACCCTGGTGCCCCTTTCTCCAAAGGTTTTGCTGTGAGTGAACCCCGTTAAGTGCTGCAAAGGGTTGGGGTTTCTTCCACTATTACAGCATTAGAGCAGATTAAGAAACCCAATCTCGTGGAATTCAGGGCTGCTCTTGCTGTGACAGCTACAATAAGGACCGAACGTCACTGATGAATAGAATCATAGGGAACAGAATAGCAATAGAATACGAATAGAACAGCAATAGAATAGCAATAGCAAAGGAATAGCATAGCAATAGAATAGCAACAGGAATAGAATAGGAATAGAATAGCAATGGGATAGAATAGGAATGACATAGCAATAGATTAGCATAGCAATAGAGTGGCATAGCAATAGGAATAGAATAGGAATAGCATAGCAAGAGGAATAGGAATAAAATAGCAATAGAATAGCAATAGAGTGGCAATAGCAATAGAATAGCAATAGCATAGGAATAGCATAGCAATAGATTAGCATTGCAATAGATTAGCTAGCAATGGAATAGAATAGCGTAACAATAGAATAGGAATAAAATAGCAATAGAATAGCAATAGAGTAGCAATAGAGTGGCAATAGCAATAGAATAGCAATAGCATAGGAATAGCATTGCAATAGATTAGCATTGCAATAGATTAGCTAGCAATGGAATAGAATAGTGTAACAATAGAATAGGAATAAAATAGCAATAGAATAGCAATAGAGTAGCAATAGAGTGGCAATAGCAATAGCATAGGAATAGCATAGCAATAGATTAGCTAGCAGTAGAATAGCAATGGAATAGAATAGCATAACAATAGAATAGGAGTAAAATAGCAATAGCACAGGAATAGCATAGCAGTAGAGTAAAGCAATAGAGTAGCAATAGCAATATAATAGGAATAGAACATCAATAGAATATCATAGCAATAGAATACAGGTAGTCCTCAACTTACGACCACAATTGAGCCAAAATTTATCTTGCTAAGTGAGAAATGTATTAAGTGTAATTTTGCCTTGTTTCACGACTTTCCTTGCCATGTCTGTTAAGTGAATCACTGCAGTTCTGGGCCTACTAAATTAGTAACACCGTTGTTAAATGAAACCGGCTTCCCCCTTGACTTTATTTGAAAGAAGGTAGCAAGAGGGGGGATCACATGACCTCAGGACACTGCAACTGTCATAAATGTGAATGTTGCCAAGCATCTGAATGTAAATCATGTGACCATGAGAGGCTGCAATGTTCCTAAGTGTGAAAAATGGTCGTAAGTTACTTTTTTCAGTGCCGTTTGTAACTTGGAATGGTCTCTAAGTGAACTCTTGTAAGTTGAGGACTACCTGTAGCATAGCTATAGAATACCATAGCAATAGAATAGAATAGAATTAGAATAGATTCTTTAATAGAAGAAATGATGAAGATGACGATAATCCCTTTTGGCAGCTGTGTATTTTAAATTTTCTTTTTTTTCCCTTTTTGGTCTTTATGATGGGCATCGTTTTGTAGATTGTTCGCTGTCCAGAATTGAATGAATGAATTTGTTTTAGAGAGACGCTCATCTGACATACGAGACTCTAGGTGGCTTGCAATAAAATAGATAAAATGCAGAATATACAAATAAAAGACATTGCAGCCTGGGCATGCTGTATTTTTGTCCATCGGTTGGCCGGCCCGTTTTAGCACGCGGTCACACGAGCAACATAATAAAAGCGGAAGCGATAAGGAGAGAGGAAATAATACGTGAGGTAGAAAGGAAATATGTGAGATAGAAAGGCAAGATAATGTTACCTGCTGTCTTTTCCTTGCATAGACTTCCTTGCATCAAATATTATGCAACGATGCTATTGCCTAAGGCCATTTGGCAGCCGAATAAGGAGAAAGCCCTATTTCTTTACAGTGGCTTGTTCCTCTTTGCAGAAATACTACAGGATTTTTGTTTCTGTGAATAGGCAGTGGGGGTACCTCAGGGTTCTGTCTCAGTCCCAGGACTCTTCAACAGCTTCATAAACGATTTAGATGAAGCAATAGAAGAGTTATTTATCAAATTTGCAGATATCAAGCTGGGTGGGGTGGGGTAGGGTAGGGAAGAGCCTATCTTCTAAAACAAGAGTCTTCAAACTTGACAGCTTTAAGACTTGTGGACTTCAACTCCCAGAACTCTTCCTCCAGTCATGTTAGCTCAGGAATTCTGCTGGGAGTTGAAATCCACAAGTCTTAAAGCTGTCAAGTTTGAAGACTCTTGTTTTAGAAGATAGGCTCAAGATCTAACAACATTTTTTTTGACAGATTTGAACACAAGTATCTATCCAACAAAATGCAGTTTCAGTGTTGATAAAATAAAGGTTTTAGGCAAGAAAAACCAAATGCATTGATGTACCCTGTTTCTCCAACAATATGGCCTCCCCCAATAGGAAGTCCCAGCATGTTTTATAGGCATATTAAAACATGTGAAATGGGGGGGGGATGGTGGGGGGGCTTGCCATTAGGAAGTACTTTTGTTGCACACCCGGATATGGTGCTGCCTGTGTTGACCCCGATACGAAGTGCCTCAACAATGCCGAGGTCAACATCCAAGCCGTCGCTGCCCGCCCAAAGATGCAAGGGGGGTGGAATTAAGTCACCCCCGAAAAGACGGCCTAGCCATTTTTTGGGGGCTCAAAAAAAAAATAAGACCCAGCCTTATTATATGAGAAACACAGTAGAAGAGGAAGGACCTGGCTCAACAGTAGTAGCTTTTAGAGGGATCTTAAGAGTCCTAGGGGACAACCACTTAAATACGAGCCAGCAGTGTGTTGCAGCTGCCAAAAAAAATCCTAGGCTGCATCAAGAGAGAGATAGTATTGAGATCATGCGAAGTGTTAGTATTGCTTTATACCAGGGGTCGTCAACCTTTTGGACCTCAGGGACCACCAAGCACATAATTTTAAATCCCGCGGACCAGAGACCCTGGGAAAAACCCCTTAAAAAGTCTGCAGGGAAATTCCTGACCCTGTTTTCCTACCAATCAATCATGCTTTCTTTGGGATCACAGGATACGGTCTCCAGCTCCATTCTTGGGGAGGGGGAGAGAGAGAGAGAGACTTTTGGCTTCATGCAAGGAAAGCAGCAGAAGCAGCAGAAGTCTTTCTTTCTCTCCCCCAAACTCCACCAGAAATGAGTCCTTGCCGGTGCAGCCTCTTGGAGCAGGATGCCTTGCAGGGTCCCAAAGACTCATTTCTGGCGGAGTTTGGGGGAGAGAAAGAAAGGCTTTTGCTGCTTTCCTTGCATGCAGCCAAAAGCAGCAGAAGAAAGAAGCATAAAGAAGCAGCCCAGTGGCCAGGCGAGGTGCGTGGGGTAAGTTCTCCCCCTCCGCCTTTTCCTTTCTCCCCTCACTACCTTGTGTTGTTCGCAATGCAAGCGACGCAAGCCTTGTGTTCCCACGCAGCCTGGATTAATTCCTTTGGGGGTGACATTTCTCTGCGGACCACCAAAATTTTCTCGCAGACCACCAGTGGTCCCCGGCGCACTGGTTGGTGATCACTGCTTTATATTGCTTTTGTAAAGCCGTATTTGGAATACTGTATGGTCTCCATGACCAAAAAGACATTGAGTCTCTAAGCATCTAGAAAGAGAAAAGCAGCAAAGACGATTAGGGGACTGAAGACTAAAATCATATTAGGGTGGTCTTCTTAATGCAGGTAGTCCTCGATTTACGACCACAAATGAGGTCAAAATCTCTGTTGCTAAGCAAGGCAGCTAAGTGAATTGTCCCCCACCCCAAGTTTACAACCTTCCTTGCCACGGCTGTTAAGTGAATCTCTGCAAGTTGATAAAACAGTTTTTAAGTGAAGCAAATTGACTTTGCTCATCCAAAGGTTACACATGACTTTGGGATGACCGCAATGGTCATAAATATCAGTTGCCAAGCATCTGAATTTTGATCACATGATGATGGGGATGCTACGAAGTGTGAAAAATGGTCCTAAATGGTCACTTTTTTCAGCACGGTTGCAACTTTGAAACGTCACTAAATAAGTACCTGTTTTGGCACCCACCCATCATTCTTTCCAACAGAGTTAACTGGCACCCTCTGCTACCCCCCCACCCCTCGTGATACCATCTGCTTCCTGCCACCATTTCCTTTTATTATTTTATGCCATTTTGGGGTGCATGCTTTTCATGTCTCCTTTCTAACAAGTTGTTTCTGCAGTTGATCTTCAGTTAGGACTCCCCAGGGTGAGAGAAATGCATTTTTTGGGCTACACAGTGAAGATATTTACAGACCTCAAGTAAGGATTTGTAGGGTTTTGCTGAGCAAGACAGGCGAATAGAATAGGAACAGGAACAAGAATGGAATGGAATGGAATAGAATTTAGAGGAGAATAGAATAGAATGTAGAGGAGAATAGAATAGAATAGAATGTAGAATAGAATAGAATGGAATAGAATGTAGAATAGAATAGAATAGAATAGAATAGAATAGAATAGAATAGAATAGAATGTAGAGGTGAATAAAATAGAATAGAATGTAGAATAGAATAAAATAGAATAGAATGTAGAGGAGAATAGAATAGAATAGAATGTAGAGGAGAATGGAATGGAATGGAATGGAATAGAATAGAATAGAATAGAATAGAATAGAATAGAATAGAATAGAATAGAATGTAGAGGTGAATAAAATAGAATAGAATGTAGAATAGAATAGAATAGAATAGAATAGAATAGAATAGAATAGAATAGAATAGA